CTGAGGTGCAAGACCTTTACAATGAAAATACCAAACATCGCTAAAATAAAGATGACAAATAAACGGAAAAACACACTGTGTTCACAGAGAGAAGACCTAGTCAAGATATCAATACTACCTACCCTGACCCACAAATCAATGAATCCCTATCAAAATTCTAAGTCATTTTTTGCAGAAATGGAAAAGCTGATCCTCAAGTTCTTATGCAATTACAAGGCCTCTGAAAAAGAATCTGGTTGACTTTAACTACTACTACACAAAGCTATAGTGTGCTACTGGCACATAGCTAGACATATAGGCCAATGGAATAGAACTGTGAGTTCAGAAATAAACTATGGCCAAATGATTTTTGAGAAGGGTGCTATATTGCGACCTTAAGTCCATTCAATGGAGAAAGAACAACGGTGCTGGTACAACTATTTCTACATGCAAATGAAAAAATGTGGATCCCTACATGTAATCATATATAAAGTTTAAACTGGGCTAGATCAAGGACTTAAATTTAAGACGTAAAACGAGGGGGAAATCTTCACGATCCTGAATTTGCAAAGCATACTTAAAAGTGCAAGCAGCAAGAAAGAAATGGTAAGTTTGATTTCTTCAAAAATGAGAATGTTAGTTTACTATACTATAGTTTACTATCAAGAAACTAAAAAGAGAAGGTATAAAATGGGGGCGGGGGGGGTTTAGGAAATCCTATCTGCTAGCTTAACATCCAGACTTCTTTATAAAAAGAACTCCTGGGCCTCCCCTGGTGGTGCAGTGGTTGAGCGCTGGGCTGCAAAGCTGCCCGCGCCTCTGCAGCGCCGATTCGATCCCGGGCCTCTGGGGAGGGTCCCACATGGCGCGCAGACCTCTCCTGCCGCCCGCTGCTCCCCTCAGCAGTGTATTTCGTCAGTCTGCCTGCTCTGTTCCCCGCTCTGGCGAATTCTGGTGAATTCTCTCACCCTCCCGCGCTCTGGTGAATTCTCTCACCCTCCCGTGCTTCTGACTGTACCCAGTGCTTGTATAAATAAATCTTAAAAAAAAAAAGATTTTATTTTATTTATTTATGCATACAGGAACTGGGGTGTAGGCCAGAGATGTGGGGGGTGAGAGAATTCACCAAACAGAGTGGGGAGCATAACAGGCAGATCTACTGAAACACACTGCTGAGGGGAGTAGTGGGCAAGACAGGAGAGGTTTGCTGTGTCATGTGGGATAGCTCCCTGGCCGGGAATTGAACTCATATTGCGTGGCTGGCAATAGCTTAATAGTGCTAAGACTTAATATTTTATAACAATAACAGCACCCTTGCGCCAAACGTTCTCTTCTGGTCAATAATCTACTTCTGCAAAGGATTACATTGCTTCTTCAACCTAAGAATGTTCTTATTAGTGTAACCTGCTTTCTAAAAGCCCTTTCAGGTCTTCCAGCATGGTAGAGTTCTGCTAATGTCACAAAGGGGGAAGCTACTGTGAGATTTCACCTGACACAGGCACCAAGAGTTCCCTTTTAAATCAAATCCCAGGGATCAACTTGCTTCTTGAAAAGAGATGAGCAAGCAAGAAAAATGACGATATGAAGACCTGTTTTAAAATATCTCTTTACTTTTAGGGACATGCTTTCGAAAACCAAGTTTAATGAGGGGAAAAAAAGCCTGTAAAACAATTCATGAAAAAAAAGTTCATCTAAACCATCACAGTTCTCTTGTAATAATATCAAGGGAATAAGGAAGTTTCAAATACTGGTACATTTTGTCCTACTCTCTCACCTTTCTCATTTTAACTTTAATACTTTTTCTGGTAACCTAATTGCAACAGTCCCAAGAGAGTTGTTTTAAACAAGATCAGACTATTCTAATAGTTTTAAAAGATAATTCATAGAAATATTTACTATGCTATGCCAAGAGTCTCATTTAAATACACAGAATGAGAAATGTCATTAAGTGGAATTTTGTAAAGGTCTATTTATTTCTCAGGTCCTATTTACACGTTCTTTTGGCAACACACTAAAAGGAGACTTTGACAAGGCTTACAAAGCTGCTAATAGTGTTAAAATGAGGCTCAGGTGTGGAGACTGCTCCCTAAGGCCTGAGAGATTAGGAGAGCTGTATAACGGTCAAATATATGGGTTATCTTAAAATACACATCATTAATTGGGCTCATTCTCATCATCCTGGCCTCTATCAGGCACCTGCCTATGTACCATGCTCTAAAATCCACCATGCTCTAAAATCCCCTCTACCACCTCCCTTGTACACACTAAGCAATACGTACTAAGACAGGGATTTCTAAAACACATGCACATCTTAGAGTCCAAGATCAACAGACAGGAGTCCTAAATGCAGCGGGGTTTTAAATCCTTGCTCAGGTAAGAACCTACTTCTTTTATAGGTTTGGAGTTCTGATGGGGATCCTTCGCCCCTCCATGGTTCTCACTGTGGTATGCCAACATTCAGCTTGCCTGACCCAGCAAATCATACCTACTCTCTGAATCCTAACTTCCTACCCCTATGGTGAGACGACAGATGTAAAAACACCTCAAAAGGCTGAAACCACTATGCAAACTGAAATGTATTTAGAACTCAGAATACCCCAAGTTATTTGAGGGCACTGAGGTATGGACTAGGCCATGTACCTGTATATGGGCAGGTCTGTGTGGGAGTGAGAATCTCAAGGATAATTAGTTAGGACACGCTCTATGGCAGCTTTGAGGAAGCAGTTTTCTCTGGTTTCTTTTCTCTTCCTTCACTGTGACATATAAAAGAACCTAATTACACAATTCCCCTGCTCCCTGCCCCCCAGCTATAAGCCTCCTTCACTCATTCTTTCCTTATAGTCAACATGAAAGACAGAAGTAGTCAGTGTCTCTGAAACGAACTTTAAGGTATAGTTCACTTGAATATTATTTCTGATCCAGAGAAAATTAAGGATAACCATGGGGAAATACATACAAAATAAATTACAGCTAACGTTTATCTGTTTTATGGGTTATTTTACTTTTTTAAGCAATAGGCTCCATTATTTCATCTTTCTGCCATGTACCTGGGCCCATCTTCTAACCCTGCCCTATTTTGACCTTGGGGAGAATACACAGAACAATCACTAAATTAAATCTCAGAGTTTCTCTAACATATATGCAATTTGGTAAAACTCAGTGTTCAAGTGTAATCATATTATTATGAAACATAGATTGCAGTTTGTGATTCAAAGCATTTTCATGAATTACCAATAAAGGAAAAGAGCTAGGATTTGTACACCAAATCCTATCTTCTGATACAATAATATTTAGGGTCCACCTCTTTGTATGTATTTTATACCTCAGTAAAAATAACAAAATATGTATCCATCCTTTTAAAAACAGAAATTTTGGGGGCCTCCCTTGTGGCACAAGGGGTTAAGACGCAACCTATGAAGCTATCTGCAGCCTCTGCAGTATGAGTTCAATCCCCGGCCAGGAAGCTACCCACATGGCACAGCAGACCACTCCTGACTCGCCTGCTGCTCCCCTCAGCAGTGTATTTCAGTCAAGCTGCCTGTTCTGTTCCCCACTCTGTCTCCGATGGATCCTCTCACCCCCCCACACCTCTGGCCTGTACCCTAGTTCATGTATGCATAATAAATAAAATCTTAAGGAAAAAACACAGAAAATTTTAAAATGTGTTTTTCAGGGCCCCCCGTGATGGCACAAGGGGTTAAGTGTCAGCACTATGAAGCTATCCGCAGCCACTGCAGCATAAGTTCGATCCCCAGCCAGGGAACTAACCCTCATGGCACAACAGACCTCTCCAGTCTCGCCTACTGTTCCCCTCAGCGGTGTATTTCAGTCAATCTGCCTGTTCTGTTCCCCACTCTTCCCTGGTGAATCCTCTCACCCCCAGTACCTCTGGCACGTACCCCAGTTCTTGTATGCATAAATAAATAAATCTTAAAAAAAAAAGTATTTTTCAGATCCTTCTTGCTTTCTCTCACCCCAGGCACAACATGGGGTTTGGGTTCATATAGGCTTGTCAGATGTCTCATCCAATTTCTACCTTCTGAGATACACAGTTTTACTGACCCCCAAGGCTCATCAACATTATCTTTAGGAGTTTTGTGTCTTTTGGCAAGCCACATTAATATGCTAAACTTTTTGCAAGAGACTTTTTAAAAAAACAGTTAAAGTTCAGTTAGACACATATGACTTGGTAATTAAAATGTTCAAGTTCTATAGTCATGTGTCACTCAACGAAGGAGATACTTTCTGAGAAACACATCATCGAGCAATTTTTGTTATTGTTCAAATGCAACAGAACCAGTGCATTTTGTACACTTAGGAGCAAAGATAAAGGAAAAAAAAATACAAATTTAAATCAAACGCAAGGGAAAATCATGTTATCAAGAGACACAGTAAACATGGGCTACATGAGGTCACTGCCAGCAAAAAACACTAGAGAATCATCATGATGGCTACTATATCATCAGGCAACAGGAATTTTGGGAATACCATGGTATATGTGGTCTACTATTGACAAATACTTTGTTCTGCAGCAACATGACTGTATTTCACACTACTATGATTTATAAGTTCTCTAATAAATAAGGTGAGAGATATTTTAAGATTATTCCTCTGCCTAAAGAGGAATTCTAAGACATTTACTCATATTTGTCCACGAATCAAAGTTAGAAATATGTAAGTGAACAAGTGGCAGTGTGCCTCGCTGATGATTTCATCTCTAGGTCTTGGGTCTTCGTTAACCACCATCTTTCCTTAATGGAAAGAAAGTCAACAATTATGAGAATAAATCTATGAGGTTTCATGACCAGGAGAGAGAGCAAGCAGGGTGAGAACTTGGGAGAAATAAGGAATAGGAAAGGACAAAAGCATCAAGTGAAACATAGTGGCTCTTCAAAAATCACCCAATTATCTTATTCCTGTGAATATAACTTTAAACGAGCAGCCATTATTTTGCAGAAATGAAGTTAAAATTTAAAACCAAATGTCAAAGGACCCAAAAAATCAGCCTTAGCATATTTTACCTCTAATGCCAAGGCAGTCTTGTCATAAGCACAGGGTACTCTTTTCTGGATTGCTTTTGCAAAGACAGGTCCATTCTGTGTAGATGGCAAGGGGTTGATCGCTGCCCCAGGAGTACTGGAAACTGCAGGTAGAGGAGTTGCGGTCTGAGGTTGAGCATATGCATGAGCAGGCTCTGGGATCCCATAACTGTTGGAATTCCTATTTCCATGCTTTCCGTGTGGTGAAGATCTCACAAGCTTTTCAACATAAGGGACAGGAATCATCCCAACCCGGCCATCTTTGTTCCGGGCACTCCACCACTGTTCTTCAGGCTTCTCTATTATCACCAAGATCTCACCCTTTTTAAAGGGCAGGTCTTCAGCATCATTCCCAGGAAAATCATAAAGAGTCCGTACATATTCCAGATTTTCTTCTGCCATAGGCAGATTGGGTGCTGAAACAGATCCCATCGGTGGGTTCGGATACCTTAAAAGAGAAGAAAATTACTAAGAGAAATTTTATTCTGCACCAGTGTTTAAACTTTTTAGTAAGCCATTCTCCTCTATAAATTATTTCCCTCTCTATAGTCTCAGTAGTTAGGAAAACTATGTCACTGCTTTACTTTTTGTAGTTTATATTGCAAAAGAAGTTAATATCCTGAATATATCTTATAACGTCACATGTCAAGTATGTATGTGTTTTACAGATACCTTTTGTTTACACATAAAAACTCTTGGTCTAAATTTATTTTTTAAATCTCCATTAAGTTCAGTAGCTGCCATTTTTAGGACCCTATCACAACTACCACATACCCTTCCTCCTGGTTCTAATCTATGGCATGCATTCTGAACACTTCCTTGGACCCACGGAGGAATGACAAAGGCCTCCATCTCCATGTTCCTCAAAATACAAAAACCAGGAAGGGGTTTATATACTTGCCAAACTTAAAAAAAAAAAAAAAAAAAAAAAGCCACATTGCATCTTGTATAGGAAATCAACATCTGAACACCAAAATGAAAATGTGAAGTTTTCACCAAAAACAAAAACAAAAAACCTCACAGGCAAGAGCTCTCAAGTAAACATCAGTATATTTCGTGTATTTACCAAATATAATGTAGAATGTACTTCCAGAGTTGGTATAAAAGTACATTTCCACTTTACAGCAACAACCCATCAATAGTGCCCCTTCGCCCCTTCTGCAACAGTAACATAGATTTCTCTTCACTTAAAAATGTTCTGAAAAGTTGCAAATACAGCAAGTTTTGGAATATTTGATCAATTCTCTTCCCTGCTCCCAGCGTACTTTTTTGCTTCAGAGAATCTATGTCGGAGTAACAAACCGAGGGTTCTGCCCAATGATTCTGTACCTCTTTAGGAGCTAACTTTACCTAGAGGACCATCACTAGATCTCAGTTCTAGAACAGCCCCGAGAGTAAATCCTAGCACTAACCACTGACTGTGGCTTCCAATTTGTTTTATTTTTCATGGGATCATGGCCATTTTCTTCCTTTCTTTTCCCAAATAATCTAAAAGTTATTTCATAACATGATCTCCAATGCTGATCTTTAGTGAAACTTTAATAAAAGTTTCCTTTATAGAAAGTCATCATATTGCAACATTAAGAAAAGCAAAAGGAAAAAAACACCACAGTTCTTGCTCTAAAGTAGCTACAATTATCCTTGTCTACTCCAAGTGACCGAGTACATGGCTTTCTTAAAATAGAATCTTGCAGGGGGCCTCCATGGTGGCGCAAAGGGTTAAGACACAGCACTATGAAGCTGTCCACGCAGCCTCTGCAGCATGAATTCAATCCCCGACCAGGGAGGTGACCCACATGGTGCAATTACACCTCTCCTGTCTCACCTGCTGCTCCCCTAAGCAGTGTATTTCAGTCAATCCACCTGTTCTGTTTCCCACAGTCTCCGGTGGATCTTCTCACCACCCCTCACCTCTGGCCTGTACCCCATTTCTTGTATGCATAAATAAATCTTAAGAAAAGAAAAAAGAAAGAATTTTGTATAAGGCTGTGGGCAGTTTTTGTGATCTAGTATCACAGCTCTAGCATTTCCCCACACCACTCTGTCTTCTTCATGATCACTTTATGGCAGAGTAATGTTTCATTTTGTGAGCATGATACAATGAGGCATCCCTGTGTTTCTGGGTATTTACTGGGTATTTAAAGTTTCTGGGTATTTAAAGTTTTCATTTACTCCCTACTTAATCATCACTGTCACAAACTAAAATTTTGAGTATATATTTTATTTGTTTGTTAAGCCCAGTTCCCAGATTAAAGAACATGAACATTTTCATGACCTTTGATATATACTGCCACATTACTTCCCAAAAAGACATTAACGATGTGGTAAAACATTTATCTTTTTTAATGTAAATGATTAGCTTCACAGTAGTCAGAATACTACAGTGATTAGGAACTTGCTGTAAAACCTTGAAGACCTTATTACATATTAACAAGCCCTTAACTAAGGAGCAAAGTACTTATAATCAGTAAATCTCAAAAAGAGACAGCAGTAGAAGCAGCAACAGTAATGAGTTGACACTTAATACCTACCCAGGTATTGTTTGCACTCTTTGTAGACATTAAATCATTGATACCCCAGAGCAATTCTGTGAGGTAGGTTATTATCCCCATTTTACAGATCAGCTCACTCATAACCCCTAAGCTAGTAGCCTCAGGGATAAATCTTACCTCTTCCAGGTGCATGAGAATGAATGTCATGTGTATGAAACATTCACATTAGCTTCCCACTCCCCCCCCCCCCCCCCCGTTAAAGTACACCCTGTACCTAATTCAAAGTCCACAGATTCTGTGAAAACTTTAGAGTACTACAAATTTCTCAGATACTGTTCCATTTCAGAAGCCATCCATGGGTATTTTATTTGTACAGCTAAAAAAGAGCAGTTAGTTCTAAAACACAGGTCATGAGGACATTATTTTGGCTTTAGCAATTAATTCACTAAGAATTCATTTATCTAGGTAACCACTGGCCTTCCTCTGTGCTGAGAACTTGGAGGACAAACAATGAACTAAAACCAAATTTCTGCTCTCAAAAAGACTGCCAATTTAGTAGTGAGAGACTGGAAGGAAAACAAGAGCACAAAGTATAATTAATGTGTGTCACAACAGAAGTTGATATGGTCAAGGAACACTCAAGGAAGGAGTGACTTCTGCTAAAATCAGAATACAAACGAAGGTGATGAACCAAAAGCTTAAGTTAAAAGATTCTGTTAAAGATGGGACAATGAGAAGCAGAGCTAAGATCAAATGCATTGAGAATATAAAGTGGTGACTGACACCTCACATTTTGCTTCTGCATCAGAAAAACACTAAAATAGCTAGATATTTCTATAATGAGACTGCTTTAGCTCTTTACCACTCAGTGGCACTGAATACTGAGGACCTTCCACCCTTGGGCATTCACACAAATGGCCCTCCTATGCCTGTGGCTGCTACTCTACCTCTTCCAGTTTTTCCCCTGTTCATTAGGGGTGATTCCAACTAACCTTAAGACTCCAAAATCTATATAATATTTAGCCTCCGCTTTTCAATTACAAACCCATCACATTGCTAAATATCACTTTGCTTCTAGCAGGCATCTCAAAAATCGGTTCTTCTTGCTGGGGGAAGGGGGAAGAACCAACCCTTTACTCTGATCCCTTCTCTTCTATCTTCTCAAATAATGATACATTCAATCATTCCTGAAGGCCTATCTCTCCTCTCACTTCTACATACAATTGCCCAGTGAAGTGTCGATTACTTTATATTCCCAGTAATGTTGATCAACATAGAATGTGGCACCATGAAAAAACCTTTGTGTTTCTTCTTACCAGAAATTCGAAGCATCTAAATCTTACTCAGGTGAGATACAAGAACACTGTCATTATGCTGGGAATGAAAGCTTGCCCAGTTAAGAGTTGTATTACCACAACACATAAAGCCCTGGTATCATCTGATTTGTTTAAAAGTCAAATCCTTCTCCCTTACTCCTAATTTTAGAACTCCACAAGAGGGAATGTGGGGGAAGGCAACGACTGTGTTGCCTATGGTATCCTTCAGTCCATGGGTTCTGCTTTACATGTGTAACAATCCTCTTTTGAGCACTCAGTTCAGCATCCTTTCTTGGGTCTCCCACAGCTATTTTACCATATTAGGCAGCTTGGATGTGGTCTTTTTAAAAAATCTCAGAGACCAGTAACTCCCTCATGAGCATGACAGGGAATGTCCAATTCTATGTTGGTGCCACATTACCAGCTATATGTTATGTGCAGTGTCTGTTGAGTACAAATAAGATTTTTTCTAAAGATCAACCTACCTCACTTTAAAATTTTTACTTTTCATGATTTTTCCCCTAGCCTTCAAATAATCTAGAAGTGGAAAATTTTATAAGCAAAGCAAACAATGCAAAACACATCTTCAAATTTCTAAAATGTATTTCATATCTGAACAATCCACTTGAAACTTTCTAAAATGTTGTTATACTAGAAACACATTTATATAAACATTCCACCTACTTAAATTCTAACTGTAATTTAATAAACAGCCTCTTGAAAATGTTTATGCTTTAATAAAATGCAGGTGAAAACCACCACCAGATTTTTGTTTATCAAACAATTTTTAATATAGAAATCACACTCATGTGCAGAAAGAGAATCTTTTACGATTACTAAAAAGCCACGCAGGAAATATCTTTCAGGGGGTTAAATTTAAAATCCACAATAGGAATACCATAAATAAAAAAACAGTAAGATAAACCTAGAGTATACAAAGTTATTTGAAATACCAAGCCATCTTTGTTTCTTCCTTTCTATTCCCCCATCTGTCTCCTTACCAGCAACATCAATTTTATTTCCAAAAAAGATGTCTAAGCCATAGCTTACTATATCAGTCTATATGATGTCTAGTATGACCCAGGTATATCATCAGTCACCATCATTTTGCACCATATTATAGTAACATCCCCCGTTAACTCTCCTGCTTCAAATGCCTTCCATGGCACCCATTGTACTTTATACAAAACACAGTTTCCTTACTTTGGCCATTGTATCTCCAAACTCTTATGTGACCCTTTTTTTCTTCAAGAGCCACAAAGGTCCTGGCCAACTTTCTCAGGACCTCTGTGGAAGCCCTTCCCAAGGGCTGGAAGGCCCTTTCCTTCCACTTAACTCAAGTCTTTACAATGCTTCTTCTCTATCCTCAGTTTCACGCTTTCTCTCAGTATACTATTCCAGGTAGGTCCCCTGTTACATTCCTTCAGCCTAGGTTTTTTTTCCATCACAGCTCTTTTTTATCTTTTATATTTTTAGCATCTATTTATCTTACGAGTATTTTTCTACTTTTCAGTCTGTCTAAAGTATAATACGTAAGTTTCATGAAGAAACTATGTCTGTAACCCATCTTTCCTAGTATCTATCACTGCAATATAATTATCTTATAAATATTTGAATAAAAATATAAAATTAAAGGTTAAGGAACATTCCAATAAAAAAGATCAGACTAGAACAAAGTCCTTAAACTCTGTGTAAGTCACTATAGTGATGACCTCTAGCTAAGCAAAACAAACAAAAAAGAACTATTAGCCAAAGGGCATGAAATCCTAGCTTTAAGAGGTCAATTTTGAGGCCTAAGGAGCTAAACCACTTATACTAGTTTTGCACTGGTCAAGGTTTTACTAAGTTCTACCTATGCTAATAACATCTAACAACATATCGGGCCTCCCTGGTGGCGCAGCGGTTGAGCGCTGGGTTGTGAAGCTGCCCGCAGCCTCTGCAGCACTGGTTCGATCCCCGGCTGCTCCCCGGCCACCAGAGGAGGGTCCCACATGGCACGCATACCTCTTCTGCGCCCGCTGCTCCCCTCAGCAGTGTACTTCGGTCCTTCTGCCTGCTCTGCTCCCCGCTCTGGCTCTAGTGAATTCTCTCACCCTCCCGCGCTTCTGACTGTACCCAGTGCTTGTATAAATAAATAAATAAATCTTAAAAAAAAAAAAAAAAAAAAAGAAAAGAAAAGAAAGAAAGAAACTTCTACACTAAAAAAAAAAAAAATCTAACATATCAAACCAAATCTGTGAATTTCAGGCTTGAGAGAGGCAATCCAAATATTCAGTATAACTAGATCCAAGATACCAAGAAAAATTAAAAACTAAGTTATAGCTACATACCTCGGGCAGAGGGCATAGAGAAGGAAACAATTAAAGTTGAATATGAGGGGGAAGTTCACTGGAGAGGGCCTATTATTTGATGGTATTGAAGCAACAGGCAAAATTTCAATTGGTGAGAAACGGGTGGGGCTAGGTGATTTAGTGAAGGGCCAACAGCCTAAGCAAAGGTACAAAAGTTGAGTAGGTGTGTTGGGGCAGCTACCAGGAAGTGAGCAAGCAGCCCTGTGGGCTGCACTAAAGGAGAAATAAGAACAGAAAAGGACAAGCATCAAGGACAGTTTCATTTGGTGTCTGAGAAGACACCTATACCAAAAATTTGGAGTTGTTTTGCACGCAGTGGGAAATCTCAGCATAATATTCCTTTTCCCCTCTCCAAAAAGGGTAATATTAAGCTCTTAACTGACACTTTTGAAATAACTATTTATAATACCTGTCACTTCAAGTAGCATAATGCTTTGCACATCACATGGCTTAATGCCTGAAATTAATGAAAATTCACCTATGCTATTAAGGAATTTACTTAAACATATTAAAAAACCTCATTGCAGTGGGTCCTAACATAAAAAATCTCATGGCAGCGGGTCTCTCCAACTTCTTAAATTGTAATTATATTATGCTGGAAGTTGCCTCCAATTACCAGCTTCTTTGGGGATCTGGAGGTTTCACCAATCAGATTCTTGGTATCTAGGTCTTTGTTTTCCGGTATTTGATTTATTGTCACTTTCTCCCAGCTTTTAAAGTTCATTTAGTTCAGAAGTTAACCTTACTCTGCCATGTTTCTTCTCTATTACACAGAAGCATTTAGGCATCTACTAGGTCCTCCTTAATTAATTTCAATAGCTCTTAATGTTTAAAGCTCATAATCTTTTAGCAAATAATAGAAACAGCTCATCCTGAAAAATTTGTATTAGCACCCTGTCCTTCTAAAGTAGACATTTCAAGAAAAAGTGGGCAGTAAAATACCTTTTATTTTTTAAAATTCTACACAATTTCTTCATCGCATAAGTAGTATAATTTAAATAAATCTCTAGTAAAATAGTGATTAAGGAAAATCAAATAAAACATTTTACTTGAAGAAGAGGAGACTTAATGTTCAGTGTCACTTTGGGTTCTTAACTTGAAAATAGATCTTAAACTAGAATAGGAATAAAATGTGTCATTCAAAATTTCCTTTAGTAACATTCTAGTCTTCTTCCTTGTAATTTAACCAAATGGATTTCCAGCCTATTCATGGTGGAACCTGGAGGAAAACTACAATATAAAATTGCAAACAAAACGCTAACGAACCACTTTTAAAAAAAGAAAACATCTGGTTCATTTCAAACCAGGCACCAGGGTAATCAATATATAGTTTTGACATTTGAGTTAAAGGCTTTTGTTTCTAAACGTTAGAACGTTTTCATTTGTCCATTGTCTCGAAGGTTGCAGACTAGGAGTTCTTAAACCTGTAATTCAGAGATATGCAGGGAGCCCAGAACCTTGAATGTTGTGCAAACTTGTATGTCTCTGCATTTTCAGGGGAAGGAGAACCAAAAAAATAAAAAGGTTTAAAAAAAAAAAAAAACAACCAAAACCCTGCTTCAGTGAGGAAATCAAATGGAGAACGTGACGAAAGGCAAAAAGCGTACACTTTAATGAAAAGCTTCCCCACATTCACAGTGACCCATATCCGACACTAGTCTTCCGTTCGGAATGCCTTCTGAAAAATAATTTGGTTCAGAATAGAGGGAAATGGGTTCAACAACCCCCTCCTTCACCCTCCTCCCCCCGCCCCGGTCTGACTCTGTCCCCGATTTTATCCAAGCGAACCAGCCCGGCCATTCTCGACCCTCCTGCGAATTCAAGGAGGGATGCGCGCCGCAGAAGAGCGGGCGCTCACCTACCTGGGCGCGGGCTCGATTAGGGTGGTGGTGTCCAGGTAATGGATCTTGTAGAACTCCAGCAAAGCCGGTAAGTGCTCAAACTCCTGGTCCCCGATCTTAAAACGGCGATTGGGCAGCGAGTTGATGATATAGTGGGAGACTCGCGAGTTCTCGGACACCGACAGCACGTAGTCCCCGGGGCAGGTGGAGGAGTCGCGGACTAGGAACATGCCGTGGCGCTGGCCCTGAAGCCGGGTCTGCGCCTCCTGGCGAGACACCGGTCCCATGTACCAGGCCGAGCGGTCTGAGGAGTCGAACCTGGCGGAGGACATGATGCTGGGCCGGGGCTCTGTGGCGGGCCGGGGCAGCAGCTGCTCTCGCCTGCTATGGACTCCTTTGCCCAATAAACGGCTCTAGGGCCAAAGAAGGGCCTCTCGGAACACCTCGAGACGCGCTTAGAGGGCCGAGCCAGCACCTTCCTCTCGGTTCCGGGATCGCAGCATCCTCCGCCGCCGCCCGCTTGCGCCGGGGCCGCCTCACGGAGGGAACCCGCCCGGAGGGTGCGGGCAGAGCCCGAGGTCAGGGCGGGCGAAGCCGAGCCGCAGTGGAGGCCGGCCAGGGGTTCACGGGCTGCCCTGAGTACCAGGGAGGGTACCTCTAGGGACTCCTAGTCTGGAGCGCGTCCCCCACGGCTCTGCAGCGAATCCTGCTGCCCCGCCAAGCACCAGAATCCAAAGAGCGTCGCGTCTCCGGTGCGGTTTTATCTAACCCGTTCCCAAGAGCCACAGCAACAAAATGGCGGACGCGGGAGAAGCACCCAGCCACCTCCCCCTCCGCTCAGAGCACTCAGACTGCGCACGCGCGGACCACCGTACACGCCCCCCCCACCCCAGCCGCCGTCCGGGCCGTCCTTGGGACGTCGCGCGGTGCAGCCAATCAGGAGCGCGATCGTGACGGTCGGGGCGTGCGCCACTCTGGCCTGCTCCCGCCTTCGGGGAGTAGGCGGAGTAGGCGGGCTGTGGCGGCGGCGGACACGCCCTGCCGGGGCGGAGGTGTCCCGCCGGGGGCGCTGCAGCTGTCTAGTCTACCCGCGCTGGCAGGGAAACAGCTGGAGCCGAGAGGGAGCGCCTTTTTGAAAACCTGCTGTAGGAACAAAGCATAACGTGCGGGCCAAATCTCCGGTCAGGGAGGCGTGGCACTGTGGTCACCTGGCCAGCCTGGGGGCCCGAGGAGGCCGCTTTGAAGGAGATCCACTGGCGGACAGAGCCGGATGGGCCCATGTGGCTCTCAAAGGAGATGACTAGATAGGGTCGAGGTGGATAAGCTAAGTGACCCAAGGGGCCGGGCGACCTGTCAGGCAAGAATGGGGGGATGACGTTGAAGTGGCAGGATTAGGTAGCCTAGGGTATCTATTGATAAAACCTGGTCGTCTGTAGGCTGTGAATTGATGCAAGTAAAATGCAAATACTTCTCGGGCGTGGTCTGAGGGCCTGTCTGCTGCTCCATATTCACCTTGCTTCTGCGGAGTTAATCTAGGTCCTCCCATTCCCCCTTGTTTATCCATTTCCAGCTTTGACCTCCTAGTCTGCCCCAATCACTAACCTCTTCTCCCCCAACTAGAATGTAAAATTTAAGAGGTGGTGGTAGGGGAAGATCTTGTCTATCTTGTTCATTTCTGGGTCTAGTGCAATGTCTCATCCCAAGTTAGTGCTCAAATATTTGTTGAATTAATGACCACCAGGCTACTAAGGCTTGATTATTGGTGGCACCAACCCTGGAACTGGACAGACAAGAAAGCATGTCCAAAAAGGGAGACATGGGGGCAGCACAAAACCATACTTAGATTCCACTGTCAACAGAATTTCATTTTGGTTGTTTTGCACTCATCCAGGTTGAATATATCTTAAATTTTAAGGCGATGGTCAGTAATATCCATGCTAGGGTGAGCTAAAGGGAAATGCCATGGTCTAGTGCCTTTTGTTACTCAACATAAGCAGGTTTTCATCTTCCCCAAAGATGTTACATTAGTTGCAAGTACAAGTTGAATAGCACATAATTTGAAGCTGATTGCTTGGGCTGGAAACCTGGCTGAGTGGAATGACTAATTGGGTGACCTTGGGCCAGTTTCTTAATTATCAAATGCCTCATATATTAAACAAGCGAATATAGGTAAAATGTTTAGATTACTGCCTGACAGTATCATCATATAAGAGTTTTTCTTTATCATCATTCAATCTTTTCCTGGGTTTTCTATCTCCAGAACCTAAAACCATGCAGATCTCTCAACTAGTGAATAAAGTTGGGGAGGAAATAGTTACTTTTCACTGCCAGATTTTACCACTTCATTATCACTCTAGCCTTTTTCGTCTGTCCTCCATCCTTTGACTGAAGCTGGCCTTTGGAGAACATCAGTGATTTCCAAAGACCCTATCATTTTCCTTGATCTATTGGGCCCTATGTGTTTTTATTGAAAAATATTTTTTGGAACAACTTTTTTTTAACTCCTAGCACTCTAACATACTTTCTTCCACTTCTGTGTATACTTCTTCAATTTCTTTCTATAGCACTTTTGTCTTCAAACTTTAAGCGTAGAAGCTCAGTCTTTAACCTCACTACATTTTCTCCTTCGGTTGGCTGGTCATTATAAAGGCATTAGGGGGTCACCTCTCTGTTGATGACTCTAAAACCTATATATTCTAAAAGTGGAACAAAAACTAGCCACACCTTATAATTACTGTGCAAACACATGGTGGAAGCCTAAATTAATTCTTATCACATTCTATTATAATTATAAGTATCTCTCCCTTCCTAATCTGAGCATCCTCGAACCAACCTGTAGTATTATTTTTGTATTCCCAGTGTCCTAGCGCAGTGCCCAGCATATAATATATATTTAGTAAATGATTTTGAACGTAGGTGGATAAAGATGGAAAGAAACCAAAGAAAAGCGAAAATTTATTTTAGGGAAGGTAAGGAGATTGTGTAATTGTTTTTTATTATAAGCATAATAAATGTATTTAAAATAGATATTTGAACCGAAAAATTTCAGCCCTATATTGCCTTTGTTTAATCTTCCATTTGGATTAAACTTTGCTTTTGAGTTTCCTTTTCTCTTTCAATAGCATCATTGTTTTCCTAATTCACAAACTCAAATCTGAGTCATCTTTTACTGAATTGAAGAACTCAATAGTAATATTAATTTATGTAGTACATCCCCAATTCAAAAAATTTCAATTCATAAAACTTCACACAATTGTTTTACATAATTCAACCCAAATCCCATGAAGTACACATTTGTAATTAATCCAGTATAGAGAAGCTGAGAGACTTACTTATGTTTTACATAATTTGCAAGAGTCAGAGCTGTCACTCTTAAACCAGTTCTTTCACTTTTTTCCCCAGCAAAGTCCCTTATACCCCTTTGACCCTTTCTCCCCCAGTCCTCCCTCAGCCTTAGAAGCCTTGTTTTGTTACTGTTTTCTAGTTTTAATAAGTATTTTGCTTTGTCAAATTGTCTTCTATGTAAACACCCAGTATTTGTTTTTGTCTGCTTTGATTTGCTTTACTACACATAATTCCTTCAGTTTTCCTGTAAATTTCAGCATTTCATCTTTCCTTCTGGCTGTATAGTATCCCATGGTGTGGTTATACCAAACCTCTGATCAGTGGACACTTGGGTTGCTTCCGTATCCTATTATAAATAATGCTACAGTAAACATTATATAGAATATAATTTTGGCATTGATGGTTTCATATTCTTCATACAGATGCAGATGGAGTGGGATGGCTGAATCATATGGTATTTCCGTTTTAGTTTTTTAAGGTAAAGCTGATCACTTTTCAAAATGGCTGCACTAGTTTACATTCCCGCCAATATAATAGGGTTTCACTTTTTCTGAATACTCTCCAGCACTTGTTGCTGGGGGTCCTTTTAATAAGTGCCATGCTCACTAGTGTGAGTGATAATGCACTGTGGTTTTGACCTGCATCTCAATTATTAAAAGTTATCATGAACTTTTTTTCCACGTGTCTATTTGGCTTTCTAGATATCCTCTTTGGTGAATTGTCTGTTCAGATCTGCTGCCCATTAATTAATTGGGCTTTTTTTTAAAAAAAGATTTATTTATTTATTTATTTATTTATGCATACAAGAGCTGGGGCATAGGCCAGAGATGTGGGGTCGGTGGCGGGGTGGGGGGGGTAGATGGGGGGGAATGAGAGGGTTCACCAGAGACGGAGTGGGAAAAAGAACAGGCAGATTGACTGAAATACACTGCTGAGGGGAGCAACGGCGAGATAGGAGAGGTCTGCTTTGCCATGTGGGTTGCTCCTTGGCCTGCAGGGGATCGAACTCGTGCTGCAGAGGCTGTGGACTACCTCATAGCATGGTGCTTAACCCCTTGCGCCACCAGGGAGGCCTAATAAATTGGGCTTTTAAAAATTGATAAATTGTACAATATTTTAGTATATTTTGTATATTAACCCCTTATCTGATGTGTGGAATATGTTTTCCCATTCAGTAGGATGTTTTTTTAGTCTACTTATATTTTCCTTTGCTGTATGAAAGCTTTTAAATTTGAGGTAATCCCAATTCTTTATTTTTGCTTTTATTTCCCTTGCCATAGGAGTCATCTCCAAAAACATCTTCATTATGGATGTCATGATCATATCACCAGTGTTTTCTTCTATGTATTCTATTGTTGAAAGTCTTATATCTGAGTCTTCAATCTATTTAGAATTTGCTTTTGTGCATGGCGTCACAGTACATGTGACTGTTGAGTTTCCCAGTACTGCTTGTTAATGAGGCTCTCCTTCCCCCACTGTATGTTCATGAATCTGTTAGTGTGTGATGGGGTACCCAGGGACCCCAAACTATTTAGGGGTACATGCTTTAAAAGGGGTCCTGCCATCCATATGCACAAGGACAAAGGAAGCAGACTCTTCATGTGATATATATTTTTTTGGTTTTATAGATTTTTTTCAAAGGGAAAAAACACTTAGACAATTTAAATACAAGTCAAAACAGAATTACTCTGTCAAAGTCAGCGATGATGCCAAATGTGTTCTCACTTGCAGACACTTGCCAGCATCTTCTGAATCTTCTCTCAGTGGAGAAAGGGGGTCTGCTATCTTATTCATATACATCCTTTTTATCTGCAATGTAATCTACTATTTCTTGTGGACACATTAACTTTTCTGTGTGCTGAGGGGCCGGGCGGTGGCCAGCATGGGGACACGAGGCAGTGGCGCGAAGGGCGCGGGTAGTCGTCAGACACAGGCTCAAAGGACACGAGCCACCATGGCTACACTGACCCAGGATCCATGTGATATATTTTTGATAGAATTAGTGTGCAGAGAAAGCAAATAGGAGAAAGGTTATTCCTGATATAACTGAAAATTATCCATCCTTTTGTGGGTAAATGCCCAAACAAAAGGCTTAGACTGGGGGCCTCCCTAGTGGCACAGGGTAAGGACAGAGCTATCACGCTATCTCCAGCCACTGCAGCTCGAGTTCGATCCCCAGCCTGCCAGGGAGCAACCCACATGGGGCAGCAGACCTCTCCTGCCTTGCCCACTGCTCCCCTCAGCAGTGTACTTCTGTCGATCTGCCTGTTCTATTCCCTGCTCTGCCTCTGGTGAGTTCTCTCACCCCCTACACTGCTGGCCTGTACCCCAGCTCTTGTATGCATAAAAAAAAAAAAAAAAATCTTTTTTTTTTTTTAAAGGCTTAGCCTGAAACCTAAAAGTCTGCCGCAAGCCTAAGGTGCATTCTGGGAGGGAACCATAAGAAAGGTGTTAAGCAGGTCCCAGACGGGCCTCTCCTGGGGGCTCAGCGGTTGAGCGCTGGCCTGCGA